CTGACTCATGCCGGCGGCTGCAGCCGGCGTTTTGCTTCCTGTCTCTCCGGCCCCGGAGCGCTGCCAGCTCCCGGTCATCCTCCAGCCCCGGGGGAAGGAGCCGCCGGGAGCCCCTTGTGCTGTCACCGCCGGGTGCTCCCTGTTGCGAGGTGGTTGCCACAGGCTTAGGGGCACCTCCCTGTGCCAACTCTCTGCTTCCAGCCCTCTGCACTCGTCTCTGGGTGGAGGTGAACGGTTCTTATTGTCGGGGTGGCGGGGGGGAGAAGAACAAAACAGGTCCCAGCATTCATGTAGGGAGTCTCTAAGGGATGACATAACAACATCACATCACAGAAACACAATCCATTGCAGCCTTTGAGAGAGGCTGACAGATAGCATTGACTTCTTGGGAGGCTAGAAGCTTTACACAGAAGCAACAAATCTCGTGCTGTATTACTGCTTTCCAGACTAAGGTGGAAGAAGGAGATTTCCACCCCTCCACTTTTTTTTCTTTTTTTAAAGCCTTGACTATTGGGCTGTCATGTACCATCGGCCATAATTGCTCCTGGGAACCTGTTGTGTCTTTTAGGGATGTTTCATTAGAGGAACAGACCTAATGTCAGTCTAAGTAAGCTTAAGAAATAGAAAAATCTGATGGCCTATTGTCTGAAAATGTCCTGTAAGGCACCTCACATGGACGGTAGTTTATTAATATGAAATCTGGTCTCTGTTTTTTTTGGATTGCATGACTGCCACCAGTCTTTTTTTTTTTTTTTTTTTGCTGTTCTTGTGATCACATGGCTGTCAAATGATGATTTTTTTTTAATATAGTTATTATGATTCAGACACTGTCCTTCACTGACTAAATTACTTCAAACGGCTTGATAAGGTCTAATAAGTGCACAAGGTTGTGTTGTACTCAACTTTGAACATCAGGCGTTTTCTTCCCTATTTTTAGCTGTTTTGATTCATTTCAACACTTATTTCTTACTAATGTAACAGGAGAGGAAGTAAATATTGCTTACTTTACTTCCCGGAGAAGTGTCTGTATTATGAAATAAAAGCTCAAGGTTGAAATCTGTGTTAACCTAGAAACCTGAAGACAATTCTTCCTTAACCAAAGCCTTTCAAATTTTGAAGTCCTTTTTTATCTAAGCCAATAACAAAAACAAAACCCACAGCACTATGAGCAACGGGGCTAAAGAACAACCATCATTCAACAGATATGTCTGACA